ACTTTACAAGAAAAGCCCAAAATTGATCAGACCGAAATTCCACTTCTCTTTCATGATTTTCGGTCGTCGATTTGTGAATGAGATTATCTTCATCATGAAACTCGTTGCATATGTCATTGTTGAATTCTTCATAAACATGACCATTAGCAGCCAACCAATATAATTGACGCTTCACATCTTTATCAATAGTAAATGTCGGATAAAGAGACAGAAATTTTCTTAGTTTCAACCAAAATATGGATGATAGTAGTCGTAACATTGAAAAATGCAGATGGGGTACAAAATGCGTACCTCAGAGGTACAATTTTTTTTGAGGTGCAAAAGGCTCAAATGGGGTGTTGTACCCCCAAATGGGGTACGGCTGGCAACCCTGGTTGAGTAGCACGTACCACCACCTTGTTGAATAAGGAGAAAAAAAGAAGTACCTTAGGAAATAGCTACTGGTTTTTTTTCTTCAAGATAGTTTTGTGCGGTGATAACTATAATGCTACGCTTCATCAAGCATATTACAATTATAACTAATATTTTATATGTGTGTAGATGAACATACCATTTTATTATTGAATAAAAGCTGATGTTTAAGTATAAGCTTTCAAAAACAAATTCATTATATTTGTTCTAAATTAAAATTATTGATAATTAACTATTAACATGTATCGGTTTGATGTCATTTATACTCCCAAAAAATACAGAATTCCGGAATGATTATATCAGCTTGTATGTATAAAAGCCGATACAGACCAACACATATTTCTGGTAGTAGATCTTCTTTGTAGAGTAGAGTACAAATTGTACCTGTATTTTCACAGCCCTTGCTTCTCTGCATAGGTATTAGTAAAATTAACGGAACAATTTATTTTGTGCTTTGTCTTTCTTTTTTTGATAGCGAAATATCTTTGCAAGTAATGTTATCATAAATCAACGAACAGAAACTTAGTAGAGCATTTGGTGCCATTATATTTTTACATCCTAGGTAGTTCAGCAAATGACACTTGACCATTTAAAACTAGGATATACTCAAACAGTCAGAAAACAGAAATTTACATGTTTTAACAGCAACCCCTTTTTTGTTTTCTAGGTATTTTGACGTGTAGGAAAATGTCTGAATTTTAGCAGTTGGAGTAATTTCAATATGAACAGCGTTTCAATCCGTGGCATGGAAATGTATTCATGCCATTGCAGTCAGTTCTTTCTTACCGCACTATAATGCTAGAGTAAACTTACTTATAATTATTAAACGAAATCTATGTACATAGAATAACTTGTAAATAGCAGAAATGGAACCATTAAAAAAAAAGACTTTATCACTTTCTTCTTAGATTCTACACATCGATTGTAATATCATTAACTGAACTTTAAGAATTTTACTACTTTAAATTGTGATATCCAACAGAAATCTCATTACTAATTGATAAGAATAATGCTATTGAACTCGATTTTTAATCATAAAAAATCGATTACAAATACCGTGTTTCTATTTTGTTCTGCATGAAAATCCAGAATGCGAATTCAAAGATTCATCGACCAAATATTTTTGTTAGGTCTGTTAAAATGCATCGATGAAAAAAAGCACCGTTTTCAAGCGTTTGATTTGCCAAATAAACTTGCTACATGACGAGGGTTGTGCTCGTCAATTTTCAATCTCAATGCGTGAAAACGGGGTGTATATCTTATATCTGATGGTTTGGGCATTATAAGCATCTGCAAAAAAACAAAACTACTAGAAATGATATCTTTGAACACCGAAAGTAAAAGAATTCATATTATTTAGTAAGTATAGCTATTACTGGCAATGCTACATCGGCAAGGAATGGCGTTACTGTCGCTGGAGGTAAAGGTTCAGGCAGTGTCACCAATCAGCTACATCTCCCTTCTGGTCTCGTCGTCAATGAGGATCAAACAGTGGTCATTGCTGACACCTGGAATCATCGTATCATTCAATGGAAGAAAGATGATACGAATGGACAAGTTGTCGCTGGTGGAAAGGGTCTAGGGAATCGAACGGACCAACTAAACTATCCAAGCGATGTTTTGATCGACAAAGTGACGGATAGTCTCATTATTTGTGATCAAAATAATCGACGAGTTGTACGATGGTCTCGCCATAGTAGCACAACACAAGGAGAAATTTTGATCAACAACATCTTTTGTTATGGATTATTTATGCATGATCAAAGAGATCTCTACGTTTCTGACATCGGAAAACATGAAGTAAGACGATATCAAATGGGTGACAAGAATGGAATTCTCGTGGCTGGTGGAAATCGGGCAGGTTCTGGTCTAAATCAATTCAAACTGTCAGCATATCTCTTCGTCGGTCGACAACAAAATGTCTATGTGTCACACAGAGACAATAGCCGTGTGATGAAATGGGGAAAAGGTGTATAACAAGGGTGTGGATGTTCTTTTCATCAGCTCGCACAACTACACCCACACCCGAGACCAGTGAATTTAAACAGCCGTAATGGATTTTGACGAATTCGCTATCGTACTCGTTACGGTTCGCCAAGACCCTCATACTTTAGATCCGCAATTTTGTTCTTGACGAAGCAATAGGGTTTATGTGATTAGTATAAAAAAAATTCAATGTTAAGTAACCTGATCTATACATGAACAGATAGAAAGGAACTAAGATAATTGAATAAGAAAGTTATAGAATTCCATTCCAATCTTGAAAAAAAAAGTTCTTCCACTAGACGAGTTGTCCCATGGGACGATTTTTTCGTCCCATCCCATCCCATTCCATGCGCGGCTCTGTTTGTAACTATAATAATATGAAAAAGTGAGCGGAATAAAGTGGAAACACTATTTGAAATACATTTTTTTGTATACAATCGTAGATACGAGTATTACTTTTCAATAGAAGTTTCAATGTCTTTACGTTGCATTTTGAAATGGACGAGTTGCAAGCAATTACTCTTGTGTTCTTGTATAGGATAAACAAAAACAAATTATTTTCTTCAATTTTCTTTTATCAAGAACAATTTATAACAACAAGAAATATACATTATAACAACGGAAAATATTGATGAAAGTTTTCTGGACGAACAAATGTTTCATCTAAATCAAGGCTTTTCAATTGATCGAAATTAAAATACGTTGGATCAATAGTAAAATTGTTTGTTATCGTTATCAGTGATTTGTAGTTGATGGAGAGATTCAGCAAACGAGGCAGATACATATTTTGCTTCAAGAGAAATAATTTGACCTAGTCAACATGTGTATATTCTAGAGTCAAATATGTCAAGATAAGGAAATCTGATTAATGCTGGTGAATGTTGAATATCTTTTTGCGGACAATTATTATCTATATATAAGAATTCAAGAAAAGGAAAGTCTTGAGAGATGAGTTGGAAAAAGTTGTGTTCAAATGGAATTCTATCATTCATTTTCAATAGTCGAACTTTTTTAAACATGCCACCTTGAAAAGAATTGTCGAGATCGACAAAATATTCAAAACCCGTACGGAAGTGAATAAATATGGCAAACACCATCGAATGGAACTGATTGAGTATTAGCGTATGAAGTTACTCGTGGATATCTTCTTCCAATGAAACTACGTTGAATATCTTCGTTTGTTGGAAGTTCAAATCTAACGGTCTGAAACGAGACCTCTGTCTTAATATAAAATGTAAATTTCTTTAATTGTGCCATATAAATAAGAAATCGATCATATAATTGATAGCCATCGATATAAGTCGAATCCATTCTTCTTACTAATAGATACAATTTTAATTCTTCAAGATTTATCATTCGACAAAGTAATGGAACAATTAGATTATCATACTCATATGTATGACCAAACGAGGTAAACGAAAAGCATTTCAAATTGGGTAGTTTTTTCTAAGAAAATAAAATTAAGAATATTTATTTACTCACTTCCTTTTCTATGTTTGTTTTCTCTAAATATGACCATTGAACTTATACTTACTGTTGGATCTATAGCTTCTAATATATCTGGATGATAAATACATAATACATTGATAATTAATGTTGATAAACAAACAAGAGGCCCATCAAGCAAACAAAGACAATCAGTTAAACTTGGGACATTGATTTTTAATTTGGTTAAAGCAGAAGGCGTATAATTTCCACGTAGCATATAAAGAGTTTGAATCACACGCTTTCGTGTAGGAAACATATCACAAAAATTCAAAACGGTCAAGTTTTTACATAAAGATAAAATTAATTCAAAAATCTTTGAAACAGTTATTGAGCTTTGTTCTCTTGTTTTTTTTCATATCAATATTAAGATGTCTTATTTGTTTAGCAAGAAGATCACGAAGAATCAAATTATCTTTAAATTGAAATAAAAACAAAGATGATTAGCAAGTTTTTATTATACTGAACAAAATAAAATACTACACCTATTAAATATTCATAAAGCGTTTCTGCTTGAAAATTTATAAGTGACAGCGAATATAGTGGAGGATAATTTGAAGCAAGAAGAATTTGTTTCATTGAATATTCTTCAACGGTGAGTTTATGCACGTGTGAATGAATTCCAGGTATGATTTTTTTACAGATCCTTGAAAGAACTTTAGGATCTATTAAAGAAGTTTGATCATACGACGAGTTGATGTTCATAATTGTTCTCATATTAAGATGATGAATATAAAGAGAATCAAATACTAATCGGTTAAATCGTTGATTTACATTCACAAGCGAGTAAAAAACATCGACCATATTAAGTTTTTCAATAATGAGACATAAAATTTCATCGGGTAAATCAAGTATATTGAGACGATTGTTATTTAAATTGCTCATGTCTAACTCATACAATATTTTCATAGCAATCATATATATGTTGTAGTGGAAATTAAAATTCAGTAGAATTTAAAATCCTACTAGTAGAAATTGAAATTTTAGTTTCTACTATAGGTAAAATTCAGTAGAATTTCAATTTCTACTAGTAGAATTTTAAATTCTACTGAATTTTAATTTCTACTGCGACATATATATACATGTCAGCATTTTCTGACTTTCGCCTATAAGAATAATAACGAACAAATATTCGATGCCGTCATGTTGTTCTATGATGAGCGTAAGAAACAGACGAGACTAATTGAAAGGAACTAACCAATAGAATTAGCATTTCTAGATTAAAAACAAATGACCTATATTTCTTAATTCACTGTAAATTAGTTCAATCCGTTTGATCGTCGAATAGATGATGATATTTTTCATTCTGTCTAATATTTTCTGTTAGCGTTTGCATAAACTCTCAAGGATCTAATTCAATCAAAATTTATCATTGATTTTATGTAATTAAACTGAAAAAATCAATATTATAAAAATATAAGAAGCATAGGGTGTAATTGGCTTGATCAAAATCGAGAAATTTGTGGAAATCGAAATTGAAAATGTTTCGATGGATAGAAAATGTGAGATAAAGGCTTGCACTAGTTATATATTCTATTGATTCTGAATATAATTGTTTTAGGTAGAATATTAATAACAAGATAATTAAGAAAAATGTGACATATTTTGCTATTTGCTAATTCAATAAATCAAAAAACGAATTAGGTTAAAGATTTTATTTTTGCGCTCGAATATTTTGAAATAGTTTTGTATCGTTAAAAATTGTGATCGAAAGTTTGACTTGAAGAGAAGTAGTTTACAATTAAGATAAAAAATAACTTGATATTGCATATATGAAATGCAATTATTGATATTATTTTGAAATTCAGTTCGAATACGATGAGAAATTATCGTTTATTATTTTTTTAAATTGAAGTTAGATTTAAAAGATGAGGGATACATTGAGAATGAAAAATATTGTTTTCATGGTTGTTTAAACAATTCTGAAACAAGGGTTTTTCATTGTAAATGTAATGTTACAGCATCATCTAGTGTCTTATAGATTAGAGACGTGCATGACCAAAAAAATAAAACTTCATCAAAACCGGGACCAAATTATAAAACTTAATGGGACGCATTCTTAGTGAAATATGTTATAAATCGTGCCAATCAAAACAAACTTCAAAAGAGACGACCAAAAACCGACATTCGTCGACTGAATTAACGAAAAAAATTAGTATTTAAGCTTTTTTTATATTTAATGTGAGTAAATTCTGAAACAGTTCTCTCTACATCTAGATTGAGATAGAGACCAGGATCAAATGATAAAACTTACTGGAACCGCGACTAAAAACTTGGTCTCGGACATCTCCAATATGAACTCACTCTACTAGCTCTTAGATGATTTCATGTAAAGGTGTGGGTGTGGGTCTTATCACCCACCCACAGCGACACCCATAGCTGTGGCTAAACTCACACTCATTCCACACACCCCCACCGAAACCCCCACCCAGGCCGTGACAGACAGGTTTTGGAGGCAGCAATGAATGCGGTCCATTTTGTGAAACACGATTTGAAAGGAGTGTTGAAGTATATAGGGTAGAAATTTGGACCCTTCCCCCGCTCTCCCCCCACAGACTGGGACAGAGAAACTAATTAATTTCTTTGTCCCGGTCTGTGATGGTCTCTGAAATCTCTGTCACGGTCTGTGATGGCCTCTACCAGAGATCAAAACGAATGGCAAAAATGCGATTCGATTCGACTAAAAACACGAAAAAAAACCAATTCGATTCGGTTCGATTCGACTCAAATTGGGTTTACAAAACATGGTATTCACTATTACATATTATTGTTGTTTTCAGACTGTCATCGTCTTAGAATGAGAATAGTCTGTCGATCTTCTATAGAAATATGTTGAATAAATATAATTTATGAAGATATACATAAGAATTATTCATTTTTTTCAAGAAAGAACACATAAAATATAAATTAATGAACACATCTAAGTAGACTAATTAAATAAGTTTACTCTCTATAGAACGAAGAAAAATAATATCATTTACTGTACGTGGATCTATATTTACAGTTGACTGTAGGCATATTTAATAAATAAAGAGGTTGATATCAAGACCCCAATCGCACTGGAATTGTGAATAAAGTTAAAGTCTTATTCAGTAATCTAATTGATACAGTAAGAGTTAAAATCACCTCTAAAGTATTACTTAATTCTTAATGCACCAATCACATGGCTTAATTAAACTATAATGCTAATTTATTTCTCAGTGTGATTGGGGCCTAAATTGACTAACGAAAAACAAAGAAGGAAAGAAAGAAAGAACGTCCGTTGTACATGGGCATTTCTTACACCAATTAAAGTGCACTTAACCACGATAGCGCTATCTAAGAGAACAGTAATGACCATTAAATGAACACGATTGTCAGAAATCAAGAGAAACAGCGGACGTCATTTTTCATTGGTCATCTCTTATACTAGTCAACTGCTCTCAACCATATCACTGTAGAACAAAGAAAATGATTTTGAATAACCGAATGAAACTGAAAAAAAAATGAATCGATTCGATTCGACCTCTTTTCTAGAACTATCATTCGATTCGATTTCGGTCTCTGGTCTCTACCGACTCCATAGATCAAAATACAGACAGTGGCAGAAAAGCTACAAAGACTCACAGGCCGTGGTAGACAGGTTTTAGCAAAGGTGCTCCATCGTATTTCACATTTTAATCCCACAGAGATTGCGCTAACAGCTTTTTTTTATACAGAATTAGTGAATATATGTCACTAATACTGTATGAAGGTACATCAGATGTTTTTTTATGCTATGTTTAGTAGTGAGGTAAAATATGATGAGTCAACGAGTATCGAGGTTCATGTATGAAAGGAAAATTTACATGAATGCTGAGAGCAGCTTCATCGTGCTTCACATTTTTTATCCCAAAGGGATTGCGCTAACAGCTTTTTTTTTGGCATGCGTATCAGATACTTCAGAAGCTGGAGTAAGAAAGTCCTGCGCTATGGGCAAGTCATACGGACTGCGCAGGTGAAGAGCATGACAAGAAAAGTTCGCCTACGGGCGTTCTTTCCAGGTTCTTGTTTTTTCTTGAACCTCCGACTAGATTCCGCTCGAGAGAACGAAAAGAATCTTGCCTAACGGTATTGTTATCATCCCACCAGACAAGAATCTGAAAAGAACAAATCCAAGAACGGTGAATAGTGGCTGTTTTAATGAGAATATGAGATATGAAAAATAAAAAATCCAATAATGAAGTTTTCGTGTAGCGTTTTTATTTGAAAATCTAATTAGAATTCATGATTAAGAATAATTTTTATGTCAATACATGAATATTATAGCTGATACCATTATGATCGTGTAAAAAATCATTTTATCATTGAATGCGAGCTGCATTCCCATATTAATAACGTGGTCGTTTTGTACTAATTCTGCATATTCTTTCCATTCATTCAAGTTTGTTTGAAAATCTTGATGTAATTCACTCATTGTTTGATCATTTGTTACCAAAATATCATAGACGCATTGTTCGTTGGCTTTACTCGCGACTATTTTTTGACAATTCTGTTTAGCTCTTTCTAATCGAGTGGTATTTTGGAACCGTTGTACTAATTCTTCGCGAAATATTGGCCGATAGTGAAGATTCTGTTGTGCATGATAGTTTTCTCCAGCTATGTACGCGAAGAGTGTTGTTTCAGGTGTAACACGCCATGATTGGCCAAAAATAAATTGACGTTCTTCACTTTGTTGCTCTGTTGACGATAAAATTGTTTGACCATCTTGAAAAATAAAATCATTCGTTTTATCACCATCCATGTTTCCGAGAAGACCTTGGCAATGGCCTTCGTATAGTTTGGGTAGAATAGTGACTATATTCAAAAAGTCATATTGTTCTCGTATTTTAATTATTAATTGAACATTATTTGAATAAGTTATCTTGAATATTGTTCGATTTGTTTGTGTTATTGACATTTGATTATTATCAAAATGAATTGTTCGACTCATTGCCATAAGCATTTGGTAAATTTCACTATTATAATCGTCATTGTTACTTGGACGCAGGAAAACGTCACTGTCAAGTGTGTGATTATTTAATCGAAGTTCAAGTAATTTCAATTGATCGAACAGTTCAAACTGAACTTTCGAATAGTTACCATTTTTAATAACAAATGCAACGATAGCTGTTGCTTGATTATCTTCTGAATCAGATTTAACAGATTTTGTGCGAATTTGAATTTCCAATGATGTAGATATTGGAAGAGTATGAGTACGAAGCAAAACATATTCACCATAACCGTTAAATGTATAATCGATACCGTCCAATGTTGTAAAATGTGGATCACCGTTGCCACCACTCGGTACTGGAAGAGGAACATTTTCACATTCAAATGATGGCCGTTGTTGATGAAATTTATTACATGATTCAGGTCTTATTTGTGTAATCATTTGTGGAAGCTTACAGCAAGCCCAGGATAGCCACTGGTCAAAAACTACATGTTTGATTCGTTGAATTATTGAACCACCGGAATTTGCTTGCAATTCTAAACCACCGCCACCCGATTCTGGTCTACTTATAATCATGCCATTAGTATTATAGCAACACTTGACTCCAGGACCCGTAGGGTTAAATGAGCGACGATAGCAGTGCGAAGCACCAGTGTTACTTTGGCATGTATTTTGTTTGTGCGCGTTGCAAAATGAATCCGTTTGAAAATTATTAAACGTTAATGGAAAGCGATTTTGACCGGTAGCGGGTACACGACATGGACACTGAGGGACTTGAGATTGATATGTGGATGGTGGCGGCAGTTGTGGCAACTGTGCTTCCCATTTTGCACAAAAAGTTCGTGTTTGTTTTACGGCGATAGCTGTCCATGTAACTGCTCGATAGAGCCATGCAAGTGGCATTGGTATGACCGTTGACATTGATATAATTTTAAAGGTTAGCTTTAAGAGCTGCACTTGAAGATCCCCCATGTTATCTTGAGTCTTAGCAAGTTCAAAAATATCTCTATAACGTATCGTCAATGTTGCCAACGACGACAAATTAACTGATTGATAGAGAACGCGTTGGCGAGGAACAATACTCACTAGTTCATAGTTTTCTGTGAAGATTGTATCATAGTAATGTAATTCAATAGTGAACATATTATTATTCGTGACAAAATCCTTTTTAAATTGAAGTATGATTGAATCATTTTGTCCCATTTCAATGAATGAATCATATGTGTTTGAGCTTTGAATAAGCAGTTCTGAATTATCTTCTGGGATATCGACAAAAAAATCTGTAGTTGCAATAAGTTCATTTCTAATTGTGCTAACTTGAATTTGTAGTGTAGGACCATTATAAAGCATTGGCACCATACATGTGATATAGGTGGGGGTGATGATACAGCCGGTCAATATTTGCTGATCTAGTTTAACAATGTAGTTTGTTTCGTTGAAACAAATACCATATAATCTTATTTCATAGCCACCGTCCGGCGAACCACGAAATGGTGCCACTTGCAATCCATCAGGTGTATTACATTCAACATCGTTAATGTCACCACCAATTGAAAATATAAATCGACCAGGAAATTGAACATTTGAATCGCCGACAATTTGAACGATTTGCGGTGTAAATGATTTGTTAATAAGAAAATAGTTTTTTAAATCACCAGCATTGAATCCAGCCTGGGCATGAACACTACTTGAAGCTGATCCAACCGTCCATTGCAGTTTATCATAGTTGTAAATAGCAAACGAATTGATGCCGTTGGTTGTTATAATTGCTTGAAATGTATTACGAAAATTAGCGGAAAGTCCATAGCCGGGTACCTCGTACCATGTAACAACATAGGCCCAGATGAATCGATGTGTCGCTTGAGCGGGGAACGCATTAGCCACAATACGATCGAGTTCGCTGAGCGTTGCCTGGTCTGTTATTTGACGATAGAAAATATTACTGAGTAAATCATTCCTTGTTAACACATCAGCCCAAAATGGTGCAACACAAACGATCTCATCAACAGGAAAACGTCTTGGCGTATAGCTCACACTTTGATATGATTGATTGCCAAACAATATCATACCATTGATTTGAATTTTGATTTCATCGTATTTTCCATTGAAAAATGGAAAACGTATTGGAATGCGGATTGACGATGAGATCTGATCATCACCACGTTCCAATACAGCATCACCTTGTATAACACCGAATGGAATCAATTTTGTTTGTACTATGAAACTTGTCGTAGCTTGACAGTGTACAGTCGTGAAAAACAGTAAAACAGTTAAAACCAGTTGCTTCATTTTCTTTCAACAACAAAAAGAAACGGTTTCTTGAATTATTTGAACTCTTTTATACGTGAATTACGATGAAAGATTTATTATCTGTTTACCAACATCATTAAAGTAACAAGATGGCTTATCGCTTATATTTTCTCAAGTAAGTATTTTGCATATCAAGTATTCGCGAAAAAAAACATTTTCATGAATGCGATGTGGGTGGAGGTTGAATGTGAATAAATATACTCATATCAGTTACATTTATCATCGTCAGATAAACAATCACAACGGTAACGATGAAACCTTCATATTTCCTCTACTGAAATGAGGGTCTTACGAGCATATCAACTGGTTTGAAATTTTCGACTTCGTGCAGAGTTGATAGAAATTACACCATTCAAAAGAACTGAAAAAACTAAACAAGAGTATCAAATTTTCTCGGAGGGGTATGTCCAAGACCCCAGCAAAATATTTTAAAAATAGATTTTTCAGCAGAAAAGAACTCTGAGTTATTTGCCATTTGTCTTTGAAAAACGATATATATATATATATATATTATGTTGGTTTCGAACGACTTAAAGTATAAAGAAAAAATCTGATCAAATTAACCCAAAAATATTTATATTGACAGAGTAATCAGTGGATTTAGTGTGCCTGGCATATCGATTTCTTTGAAAGCTCTTTATTCATTTGCAATAGAATTGAAACAACGCGATTTTAAATAGTACATAACGTGGATCAATGTGCATAGCTTATTTCACAATATACTCAAGTTCAAATGAAAATTGCTTTAAAATTTCTCAGAAAAAAAGAACAAAAAGTTTTCTATTTTCTTACTCGTTTCTTTTTAAACCTAGTTAGGAAATGTATACCTAGGCAATAGCTCTATCTTTCTTCTCATGTTAGGTGTATTACAAATCATAATGGTAGCTATCGACAAGTTGGAAGAAGTGATAAGGTAATGTCATGGCTGTTCTCTTGATTATCAAATATCTTCTTCATTATCCCTTTATAGGATGTGGATGTGGCTGCGACTGTACGTATCGTGCATGTTCACCTACCGGCGAACCCACCCACACCCTCATGCTAATTTGAAATAGCTCTTCCCGATAGATGTCTTAGCGAACTCTTTCTTGTAAGTAGTCGATGGTAAAACATATAAAATAAAGCCAAAAGCTTGAGGAGCATACGATAAGAGATAAGCTCCAAGTAATGTGTGACGTTGCCAATGAGCCAATGATGTACATGCCAAACTAAATGTGAGAATAGTTTGAGGCAAAGCAGAGAGAACAATAATAATTGGTGTTATATAAAGTTCTTTCTGAATTTGAAACTGATTCTTTAGTACTTGACCGAACGTCATTCTCGCTCCCATCGTTTTGACTCGACTACGCGCAGCCTGAAAAATTAAGAGCGTAATGCAGATCACTTGGATAAAGAATGGAACGACATAATGTATTAGAGTAGATATTCGATTGTAAGTCGAGAGTAGAGAAGTCTTGAAGTTTATCACACACACAGATGAACCGGCAGAGTGATCCTGAATGATTGTGTAATAGATCATTTCATGGGTGTGTATTAAAAGAAGGATAATGGATGTTCCACCACTGATTCCGATAGCTAAATGAGGATTTTTGAGAGTACGTGAAGTTGGCAAGAACATGATGAGAAGACGATCAATAGTAATCCAACTTGTTAGCCAATAAGTCGACCGTGTGAATGCAGAAAGAGAAAAGGAAATAATTTTGCATGATACGGGAGTAGAAATTCCAAAAGTGACTTCGATGAATTTCAAGAGCAGACAAAGTAAAGCAACTTGATTGAAACAGGTGACAACCAACAAATAGTTACCTGTACCAAACTTTCGAGGCGACGGTCGCTTAAATGTGACAAAGGAACAGAAGTTGTTAAAAAGGCCAATCGTAAAGATTAGAAGAGCTATAGAAACATAGACGACCTTCACTTCTTTTGAACCAGAAAGAAGTGAATCGAGAGTAAAACTGAATGGCTGCAAACTGAATTCGCAACGAAGACCCTGCTGACAAGACGAGCAAAGGCAAATAAAATCATTATGATGGTTTCGATCACCTTGAATACATTTTCCTCCAGACAGACAATTATCACAATGATCAAGTTGAATATTGTGACCAAAGCATTCAGTACGATAATGGCTCGGCTGACAAATACAGAGATAATTTTCATCATGAAAACAGAAACGTTTTGCGTCATTTTGACAGATGTGATGATATTTGAAGACGTCAGGAACCGACTGATCGATCGCTGAAAATCAAAATGTAGATGATTTAAGAACATTCATTTATCTATAAACTCACCTGTGTGTAAGAGCGATGAAGCATGCGGACAGCGCTCTGGAGATGTGGTAATATTGATCTCTGATTGATGCAGAAGGTACATAATGAAATATACTGGACGTACTAAATCTTCGTATACTTTGAGAACGCCAAGATAAGGTGCGTAAGCATCAGGATGATTGTAGGTTATCGTCGATGGAAATCCATAAGTGACTCGCTGATGTTGGATGAGAAGCATAAGAGAAGGTATCGCAATATCGTACAGTTGAACAACAGTCGCAAGAGCGGCCAATTCAGATGTCATGTTCAAAGCCACGTTAACAGATGCCTTTTCATTTTGGCATTCATTCCCGTAGAATTGTACTGAACAGTTGCATATATAAGACACTTCACCACTCCGATCATAAGTAGAAAGACAAGTTCCATTGTTCAAACATGGATTCGAATCACAGTCATCATATTTCAAATAACAACGTGCCCCGAATCGGCCCATTGTACATAGACAGGAGGGATTCGCTTTCCTAATATGTGAGTCGTATTTATCGATATGACAGAGTGCATTGTCTGTGCAGTAATGCTCACAACGAGGTTCGTACCAGCTACAATCTTTTCCATAATAACCACTCTTACACGAGCAATAGTAAGAATGGTTTTGATTGAAAACTGGCATACAGGTGGAATTATTATTGCAACTGTTTTCCAGACAGGGATCCAGCGTTGCATTACCAAACCACGGTGGAAACTTTAATACAACAGCCAAATGAAAAGCCGGTAGATAGTCGAAGTAAATCGGATAATGCCAAGAGCCAACTTCTTTTATAGTATTGTTCTTCCCGAGCGAAAAGACATCAAAATGAACAGAATATGGGTGATGATTAAGAACATCAGTTTGATTGAAATAGCGCCATCGTTTATGTACAAGCATGTCATGAGATCGTGAATACACAAGATAGAATTTATGTTTTATCTTCCTCGTATTTTCGATTGAACGAATTACAATAAACTCATGATGCTTGATGGTTTCATTATCGAAAAGAAGATTGGTCCGGATTTTCAGATTGATGTTCTCGAAGATTTTCGGCATTGTTTTGTGATCAATGTGTGCAATGATGCTGATTCTATCACTGAAGAATTCACACCAATCACCATAGTAAGCAGGAGGACAGAGACAACGAGTTTCATTCCGCTCGAGAATGGCTACACCTCGATTGCATTGATAGGAATAAATAGTACCAAAAGGACCTGTTGTAGACTTGATGATCACATTCTCTGATTCTCGTTGATCGGACACTGATATGGGGAAAATTGGAAATCGTTCAGTGGAAATAAATTGAGAATTTTGACGAAGGGTAGTTTCTTTCGCGGAGCGATGAACCACATGACTTTTGAAAGATTCAGGAATGCACCAATATTCATCTTCTCCATATTCACAGTCTACTGTTCCATTACACTTTGCTTTCTTCTTGCATTCATTACTTCCGAGACAGATGATATCTTTATCATCAGAACACAACCCATCTTGATCCCTATGATTTGAGCAGAGAACCTTACTACAATTCGTAATTCTCTGGCACGCAAGGTGATGCAAATTAATGAAATCTTCACACCGATAATTGAAACCCAACATACGCGACCGTGCCTCGATTGTATTTTTCTCGTCATAAGCATTGAAACAATCTTCGGTACCATCGCCTATTTTAGTGAGATTAATACATGGACGGTTTAAATTTATGTCAAGTGGATTTGATACTTGTGATAGATAACAGCCCAATTCAATGGAAATATTGCAGACCTTGGAAAACGGTGATTGAGAATATCGTTTTGCACATTGCTCGGTTCGATTATTCAAACCTAGTAGACGAGCATTGTGAATCGACCAGTTTCTAATGAGCACAAGAGCTTCCTCATCCGATGCATCTGCACAATCCCATTCTCCATCGCACACCCAGTCCAGCTCAATACATTGTCCTGTTTGACATTGATATTGATCTTTCGAACACACCCAATTCTGACATGGGGAAGTTAACTCGTCAATATGACCACTCAAATCCCAGAAACTATCGCAGTACGATTGAAACGATATTTGATCTTTTGATGTGCTATTCTGATGCAAAACAGCGAGCGAACTATCTATACTCGAGTTTTTTTATCGATGACAGTCGAATATATGTTTTCAGTCGAGCGCAATCAGCAGTATCGGTTTTCTCACAAGTGAGGCTTTTCTCGAGAGACAAGCCTGAACCATACCACATCTCATCATAGTTATTCGAACATCGGGAAACCCCGGCGCCCAGCCAATAGAGGGAGAGGCACTTCTTTTGATCATTATAGCACCGAAATCGATGCCGTTCGACATTCCCCGTACAATAATCGTTATTAAAGGTCTTTTCTTCGTCTATATTATTAATGCAGTCGGAAAATCCGTCGCGGATTCGATACTGTGATATACATTCCCATGCAATTGGACATGCGTCAGGATTAACAGCATAAGGGCGATCATTGAATGTTTTAGAATTATTCCAACAAAACTTGTCATATTGAAAAGGTGAGAACAAATCGCTATATTCTGTATTATATTCTATTGATGAACATACAGCATGATGGATGCGATGGCCATCCTGAATTGCAAAATCCAAACTTATGTTGAAAAGGGATTCACCTACAAAACTATATCCTCGGCATTTTATTTTCCCACCGAACAGGAGAAGGTCGGGATTTGAATTATTCATATATCTAGTGTAGTTGTAGTAGAAGGAAAAATGTGCGCTGATCAATCCTGGATCTGGATAGGGAACGAGATGATCTAAGCTAGGACACACCCTAATCATTATTTGTGTACAATTGTTGAGATTGCATGGACAATCATGTTCGAAATTATTTGATAGAATGCATCGGAATAAATACTGGCAAATCTCGTCGTCGGTTAGTCGTGAAGAATTTATCATATTCCATGGAGGATATCGAACATCATCATAGTTTTTGTCTGGCCAACACAATCCACTTTCGAGTGTCCAAGCAGATCTATGTGGACTCACCTCACACATGTAGTTCAGGTTGCGCTTGTTGAAGCAATCAGCCAATGATGGTTGAGATCGTTGAAATGCCATTCGAGTTACCCAATGAATACAGTGCCCATCACCACACGAGTAAAGTTTCGTAGGACAAAGATGTTCATCACATTCCATGACAGCTGACTTGAAATAACACGAGTCTTCAAGTTCATCTGAAACTTCGTCGCTCCAATCCATACAATCAACAGCACCTGTCAGAATGATCAACGTAATGAAGAAACATTCATGGCTCAAGAATTCTTACCATCAAGCCAGAATTCTTCTGAAATGCACATACCATTTGTGCATCGAAATTCGTCATCTTCACATTCATTGAATTCTAACTTATCCCAATTTTCTTCATCAATACCACTAAAACATCGTTGAATACCATCACAAATCTCTCGCCAATCGAGACAAAGAGTATCTGTGCCACAAGACAGCGTCTCATAACAGATAATCTTTCCATACCGTTGAGTGTTCTACGAATCACCATCTCTCTTTTCTTCAAACTGAGCTTTCACCGCTTCACTGAATAATTTTGCGTCGTGTGTCAACTGATATTCACAATATTTGCCAAATGTTCCCGCTTTTGTACAGTTGCAGACGAATCGATCATCTTCATCTTCAATCAACGACCTATTGTAGAAAACACTGGTATAAATATCGGCCATTTCGACACTTGAACTCCACTTGAGAACTTCATTTGGTTCCACATTTTGATCAATTAAGTCACGAAGCAGGCACCTTTTACCCTGATTCTCGCACTTTTTCTTATTTCGGTCTAGTGGATAGCTTCCATTTAGACGTCGACAATATGGAATTGCGTCTCCATCATCGTATATGTGGTAGACACAATCGAATTTTTCAGTAGTTTGCCTATTCTCGGTATTGTAAAGTAGAACTCGACCATATATGATGATAAAAGTCGACACAAGGATAGTAAAGACAGCTGGCAACATCTCCAAACTATCTTCCTCTGACAATAAAAATCAGCGCACGCTAGATCACCTCAGCATCTATCAAGGGAGAACGAGTTAGTTGTGCTATCATAGTGTGGAATAGGTATCTGATTCCATGATATTTTTGTCAATATACTCGTCTGTATTGCGAGCGACGATCACGTATATGAAACAACTACCATGAAGTAAAAGTCAATAGATTAGTGAAATCATCAATGTAACACGCCGATCGTGTTTGATTATTCTGCTTTTCTTTGGTTTGGATGTTGTAAAATTTTTTGTATAGCAGTCATTTTTCATCATAGATACCATTCGCGCTCAATTTCAGATTGCACCCTTTTATTTCTAACATTTTGGACCGCTGACAATCTACGGTGTGGGTGTGGGGTGTGGATTGGCTTTGTAGTTTATCTTCTCTGAACCCACACCCACAGAAGGTTGTACAGATACTCAAATAGAGCATGTTGTATGTTTAGCTATTTACAATATAATGCATCGTGATATTTTGAATCAAGGACGTATGGGCGTGGGTTTCGTATCTTAATTCAAACCACACCCACACACTTGCCCCAGCGAACAAGACTTCGAAAAATACGAAATGATGAAGACAAACTAGAAATTTAAATATATATTTATCTTGATTTTCTACAGTAAATGATGACATCCACGCAACTACCATATTGCAACATAAACATTTGCATGTGGTATTTTCATTCATATTATCTACTAGAAATACGATTACTCTAGTTTTTTTCTCTCTCTCTCTCTCTCGTTTATTCGATAAACTAATCTTTAGCTAACTTCGAGGCATGTCTTCTTGATCGATGAGTATTAAGAAAAGACGGTCAACTACGATCATACAAGGGTATATTAACAACTTGACTAACATAAAAAGATGTATATATTACTCTCATTACAATTGTAAGATATACATAACATCAATGTCTTACACACGAGCTCCTGAAAATGACTTAGGGTGGTAGATAATACTTCGAAAAGAACAAGAACAGAAAAATCGGCATTGTAAGTTATATGGTTTTATAGGCATTAGTTATGAATGATATACGCTGACGGAAAGATACACAAGTATATTTGATGAATGATTCGGTTCTTAGTAGTATAATATCTTTCGTCTATGTAGAAAAATTAGAATTGTCTCGACTTTTCCCGCTTATATATCAACATAAAGATATATATATGGATACGCATCTCTATGCCAATCCTGTTTTGTATCTAGAATTTTCACACTACGACAAACGATTCAGACCGGCAATCCATGAAGTACTTTCGAATGCCAAAATGTCATGCAAATACGTTAGTAGTAGATACTGATTAACCTACATGACGAATATGTACGACAAATGAAATTAACGAAAGAAGCTAGCGCTCACATGAGAGAATGAATCTAAAGTTGAATTCGATGACATCTATGTTAGTGGAAGTATGAAAATACTATTCAAGATTCTTAAGGAAATTACTGTCTAAATTATTTGCCGATGTATTTCAGAGGCTCTGGACATGTTGTTCCTCGACTAGTACAATCAGCAATTTTAATGATATGCGATATCTTATTATAAACATAAATGCTTTCTGTAGTATTGTTGATGTACAAGGTCTTAGCTCATAAGCAGATTGATACCTGGGAATATTCTATAATATGTTGATAAGAATAACTTCTAGCTCTTAAAGAAAAATCTTTTTGTTTTGGGCAACATAATTTAGACACGTAATTCATAGACAAATTAATTAGGCATTGCAAACATCATACTTTGGTACATGTGCGGCCATTGTTTTTCTTAATATCTTCCGATTCGGATGGTTTATATGCAAAGATCCATACACAATGTTAGAGAAGTGCTGTATGGTTATGTGTTTATCGAATTTATCTTCCATCTGTCTTGATTAAATAAACAAGGCACGATTTTTATTATTCAATTGTAAAAATATCACATCAGTAGGTATTTGTGTTTTCTGTATGCAATGACATATAGAGAAAATTCGTATAATTATAGGCGCTTAATATATTGTTGATGAATTGTTCAAAATTTCTATACTGTATTCAACTCATTGGATCGATCGTTTTAATTCTTACATTTCTCTTCTTTTTCATACTTCTTTGGCAAACAGATTGTTTATGGAGTCAAGATTCTTCGGATGATATTGGCCGTTATGAATGTAAATGGTAGACAATAGATGATTGAAACCTATCATCATCGACTTTGACTGAGTCAATTCGTTGAGTACGTATTGTTTTCTCCGAGATATATCAAACAGAAACTAACGGGAGTGTCTCCCGCCTCTTTAAGTTTTCTTGCAAAGACTAATCGGCTACATGTATCGTCTTGCAGAACTTCAGATGAAAAAAATATATTAAGCCTGCACGATTGTTAACGAAATGTTAAATCTGTCGCTATTGACAAAAAAGAAACAATAACAACTGGTTTGATGATAAACACATTTTATTCGCATTCTCAATAATGAAGTACAAGTCAAACATATCTTTTGCTATGGCCAAGGACAAAAATTTACTAACGATCTTTCTTATTACCCCATCGATTCAGAGATGTTTCAAGACATTTTCGCATGGATCATATCATCTATTGCTTCGCATACAAAGTTTTCCAAAGTAATAGAGTAATTTGATTAATAATAAATATCGATATAGAATATCAAACTTTCTCTCTCTCTCTAGTATGCGTTGGAAATAATACCAATAATAAATAAAAAGTTCTATACAGTAACCGAACCTTTCAGCATAATAACAATGCCTTCTAAATATCGATCTACTCATATTCGTATTAACAACTATTTGAATCGTAGAGAGACTCTACCGCTACAAGACTATGAAACGATAATTTCGAAATAATTAATAACCATGTATCTGATTTTATCGAGACATATTTAAGTACGGTGAGACTTACTCTAGATATAATAGATATCAACAGCAGGCGCATTTGCCAATCAAATCAATGGTTAGAACAAGAAAAATAACCTCGTTGGTGGTAAGAACAAAAACAAAATATAGAACGATAGTAATAAAAGACAAAAAAACGATTATATTCGAAACAGGAGAGATTATTTCTCTCCCAATCGATCATCCTTGGAAGAAGAACTTCCACATTTCAACTCCACAAGGGCCGTACCGAGAGATTTCTGTTATCTCTAATGTCTAAATATCTCATCATAGAGTAAATAAAAGAAATTAGTTTTCAAATCCCACTTTTCTTTATCTTAAATTATTAACGCCTCTATTGTATCATGTCCTACCATCGAGACATATTCCGTTACGCAGTTCTAACATAACTTATGCATCATCAAAGTTCCCTCTAGCGTGTTATTTACTCATCTAATGCTTCGCGTGAATATATTCCATATATTTTCTTGTCACTCCCTCTCTCGTTATAATATTTACCAAAAACGCTGTAATAGTTCTCTTTTTACCCGCTATATATCTCCCGATATATATCAGCATATTCTTGTTTTTTTCTTCTGCGGTTTTTCTTTTATCGTCAAGCTAAAAACGATATCAGTCAGGGCAGGAGGAGGAGGAGGAGGGAAGAAAAAGTCTTTCTTTTCTTCATAACATACAAGATAATGAGGTTAGCGAGCGATGTACAACAATAAACGACGTCAATAACCAATAGATACCTCTTTTTTTTCTCTTATTTTCCTTTGCTAATACAAGGACAGAAAACGCAAAATACTTTGTTCATATTGGTTAACGAATAGCCTTTTGGTGAAATGGAAGAACAATGCGAAGCATTACAAATAATTTGTCTACAAACGTCTTTAACTCAGTATCATTATCAATCTTATCCTATTCTAAAACAGTATTTTCTCGAACGTATTCGTCTTAGTATTAAATCCGAATCAACGAGAACGACTGATACTTCATCTAATGAAATCCGTGCAGAACATCCTACACTTGTTATTCTACCCGAATGTACAGGTACATGGCTTTATTTAATGTGTGTTCCAATGCCAACATTTTTACGTAATTATTTTTTTAATAATCATAATAGCAAATATAATCGTCATATATTATTTATATCGTATACATTATTAATTCATATGCGTTTATTTTGCAAAGAAATCTATCGAAATTATCATTCCAAAATATCCTGGTTAGGTTTAATAAAACGTTCTTGGTTTAGTCTTTTTGCTGATCAAACGTCTACTATTTATAAACGATTATTTAGCGAATTAGCTGTTGAAACCAATTCTACTATAGTTGCTGGTTCGAATTTCGCCTATGAAAATCTTCATAAGAGAAAATTCTATAATATGTCGTGCGTATTTGAGCCTAAACATGGTTCGATTTGTCTTCAAGCTGGTAAAAAATATCCTGTTCAAGATGAAATAAGTTTTATTGATTGTTATGAAAATCAACCATTGATTGGCTCCATTCCAAATACGAATATTGATATTGGCGTACTCGTATGTGCTGACAGTTGGATGCCGCAAGTCTATGAGCAATATAATAAAATTCAATTTTCATCTAAACGACGGTTTCTTTTTATTATTGTTGCGTTAAACATTGGCCATTGGAAAATACCGTGGCCTGGCTATGATTCTAGTGTTGATCCACCAAACGATGTTGATAAGAATCATGTAAATACTTTTTCGTTACCGAATGCATGGCTCCATTATGCAATAAATCGTGGATTTGATAGTTTAGATAGACGAAATGATTTAATTGGTTATGGCGTTGTTTGTTGTCAAGGTATATTAAATATAATGAATGACATTCAAGCACAAGGTGAAAGTATAATATTAGTAAAACGTTCCAAGACAGAAGAAAAACTTCTATTTGAAGCTAAAACATGCGAAGATGAAAGAATAATGAAATGCGAATTTTGATTTTAGATTTTTCTTTTTCTTTTCTTTATTTTTCGTATTGAATGAGTCGGTGATATTTTGAAGCAGGAAGTAAAATGAATAAAGAATTATTAATCTATATCGGATCACAGCTATCACAAATACGATTATATCCATTGTTCGATATATGTCATTATCTATTAATTGCTATACAAGTACGAGATGATATTCAACAATGTCAAACAGGTGAGAAATTTTTTGAATAATAAACGAACGAGACCTAACTATAGTTGGATGTATTGGGTACATTCTATGATAAACTTAGACAGTTAGTATTATGCATATATATATTTGCTGCAGATTATCCATCTGGTAGTTAACTTCTTACATGATGGTATACAGTACAGATTTTGACTCTTGTATATTAATGTACAGAAATTCAGCATACAATTAGTTCTGTGATTAATGATAGAGATAGTGATCAGTAGGAAAGAATTAATTGTTAGTTTAACAAGTCTATTACGTATATGAAATATCAATGAACTTATTGCTCAGCTTATCTTTGATCGTAGCGATAGCTGTAAATAGGAACAGATATATAAAAGAAAAAGTTCTGAATATTAAAAATTGCGAAAACAGTTTGTTTGCATTAGTTCAATTTGATTGATCATAGACTGGAAAATTAAATGTTTTTTTTTGTCTGGCTCGATTAACCGATTTTTTGGTTTCAGCTATTCTATTGTTGTTCTTATTCTTTCAATTGATTTCACTGTACTCGTGAGATATTCCGATGAATTGTTGCAGTACAACTGGATCTATAAGTATTCTTGTCTTTTTTTGACTTCATGAAGAAAACCGACAAGATTCTGAAGAGCCAATTGATAGACTCATGCCCATATGTTATCATACGGTGTGACAAACACATGTGTCCATCATACCCTGCAACCGAAATAAACTAATTTTTAGTTGATTTTGTCTCGTAATATTTTTGTTATTTTTTTTTGTTTTGTGTTTATAGCCACACAAAATTTTACTCGTCGTCATCCATTATCATGTTGGTTATCAACAGTATTACTATGTTTTTCCGGTTCTATTCTAACGAATTTTCTACTTGCTGAAAGTCCATTGAAAGACTTTATTCACCATCAACATCTTCTATTAGCTACAGTCTGTTGGTACATTGTATTTTATTTTCCGTTTGATTTTATTAATTATTTATTACGATTTCTACCTATTCGTCTTGTGATTGGCATCGGAAAAGAAATTCGACGGACGAAAACAATTTATGACGGTGTTCGTCTAACTTTATCGTTATATCCCGATAGTTATATTATTGTTATACTCATCGGAGCTATTCGAGGTATAGATGAATAGTAAAAACATTCTTTAACTCATGCTGTTTAGGTTGTGGTGAAACAATAATGTCTTCTATTGATCGATTGATTCGCGGTGTATGGTTGCCTGCACAACATGAATTTCTTTTTCCATCGTTGTAAGTTTTACAGATCTGCAATCATGTTGTGGTTGCATGTAATTAGAAATTTATGAAATAGCGGTCACACTGATCTTGAAACATGATGTGCATTGGCTATTTTTAGTCCTAGGAATTTGAGTAAACATCGGTCGATGGCCACTCATTCAAAACATGTTAGCTAATAGTGGGCCTTCAGTAATCGAAAAAGACATCTAGTGTAAAACTGTAGATTTCTAACTGTTGCTACGATAAAGTTTACATCCAACTTCTAGAATTTCTCTTTTAATTATTTTAGTGCAACAAAAGCATGTTTTCTTTCTTCATTGATATTTTTATTATATCGTATTGAGTTATTACGATTTCAACATGAATTAATCTATCTATGCGTTGCTTCAATATTTATCTATGTACGAATAATAACATCGTTCTTTAAACAATACGATCCTTTCATGCCATTTGAAAATCTTTCATCCGGTTTATTATTCAATAGTTGGATAGACATAATCGTAAATATTCGATAGAAAAATAAAAAATCGGTTAATCATTCATCTTATATTTTTTATGTTTTAGTCCGATGCATATCGACGTGCAACTATTAACAATAGTTTAACAACTCCACAGAATCTCGCAATATCATCAGGTGGTCTTTCGCCGTCAAATACTTCAAACGCATTGATGAATACGAAAAAAGATGGCTTTAGTAACGATGGACAAATGAAAGGATACGATGGAAAAAAACGGGATTGATAGCTTTTTAAAAAAAAAAATATTATATTTGTTTTGTTTACAATGCAAGAAAAGAAAAGAAAAGAAAAGAAAAGAAGAATCTCGTCCTTTTTTGTAGATTTAGTTCTTTTAACCTTTTATTTCTTATAATCTCAATGCAGCATATATATGAACATCATTGAAATACATAAATAAAGAACACCGTAATTTTGTTGATTTATATTCAACGATGCAGAAAAATATTTTCGTTACATGATCGAGTACAAACAGATGCAGCCACTGAGATATTCTTTGATCATTGCAGGCGAAAATGCGTCATCGAGAAATCGTGTCATCATTAGTGCAGTAAACAGACGACGCCTCATGCCGTTCTTCCCACACGAACGGGTGAGTTGTACTTAGGAATGAATTTGCGTCGCCGTTTCTCCTACAGATGGGGATAGGAGCAATTTATTGGCACGAACAGAATACTTAAGAGCTTATCTTCCGAGATCAATGTTCAATGGTGTTTTAATTTTTCCGCATAAATTATTCAAGCTTTCGACAAATTAGACAGTTCCACGTGAGTGTTAAATGTAGATAACAACAAGGTAATAGATCATAACTAGAATATTGCATATGACACCAAGTTCTGTTGTTAACAGCTTGTTCGCAGAATTTAGACCTTTTTAAATTCAAATAGTTCGGTCCGATTTACACGCCGATGTAATTAATCTTTCAAGTTCTCCGTCGTCAAACGAAGATATAAATACATAACAGTATTTTATGATTATTTTTCTGTGCGAATTTTCCCGTAGAAAAATGAACATCAATTGGAATGATCAGAAAAAATCTTTAGATTACTAATAGTCGTGAGCCGTTGCGATCCATTCAGTCTATTGATGTTGCACGCAATATAAAATAAGTCACGATAAAAATGTCATAAAGAATAAATCAAACCAGGAAATAATAAAAACATTCTAAGTATAGGCTATTTATTTATAGGAAAACAGCCAGTCAACACATTCCATTTAATCATGCATAATTGAATGTGGTAAAAAATAATGTTCTGGATTCTTTATTTTAAACATCTCATTTTGGCTACACATCTACCATAACAAGAGATTCCAATATATATGTTTTTAAACAATGGTTGAAGTTTCGTGAACATTCTTTCTAAAATAAATCGAAGAAATGTTTTTTCACGGCTCTGTATTGTATTGAAGACCGATGACAATTTTCAGTCTCCAACAAAATACTTTTTTTTCTTCAATAAAATTGTAACACAGTTAATAGATTATTGATTTTTTTTGCTTTGTATCTTTATAGCTGAGTCTACTGATTTAGTATGGGTATTAATTTCAACTGTACTTGTTTGGATTATGATACCGGGCAGTGGCCTGTACTCTTCAGGCATGATAAAACGTAAAAATGCTCTTTTACTTTTATGGCTAAGTCCGATGTCTGTTTCGGTTACTACAATGTAGATTTGTATTTACTTTTCAGTGGTTTCTATTTGGTCATCCGTTAAATTTCAGTCGATCGGGTTCTGCATTCATTGGCGATTTAGCTCGTATTACTCTGAAAAATATAATCAACGAATCACCAATTAATAAAACAACGATACCAACTATTGCTTATTGTTTATTTCCTCTCATGTTTGTATCGCATTGGATCCGGTCACAAAATGGTTGGGCTCGTTCACTTGGTTCATTAGATCATGCAGATGGCGCGCCCATACATATACAAGTTGGTACATCATCACTTGCCTATAGTTTACTGTTTGGAAAGCGTCACGCAACTACGAATAATACTTCTAAACATTCGAGTCCAAAATATAAATTTTCTCTTGCTAGATTTTGTATGGGTTCAATTGCTGGTCTTGTTTGTATTACACCTGGTTCTGGTTATGCTAGTATACCTGCATCAGTGGTACTTGGTACTTTTGGTAGTACATGTGTCTATTTCGGACGAAAAATAACCACCTATTCTTCAAATTGATGATCCATTTGATATTTTTGCACAGCATGGCGTTGGAGGTTTTGTTGGCTTGATATTAGCAGGTACATTTTCACAAGAATATATTTCAGAATTCGATGAAATTACCATCTGCGATGGGGGGGGGGGGGGAGTGGGGGG